CACCATGCCCAGCTAATTTTTTGTATTTTTAGTAGAGACGGGGTTTCACCATGTTGACCAGGATGGTCTCGATCTCTTGACCTCGTGATCCACCCGCCTCGGCCTCCCACAGTACTGGGATTACAGGCTTGAGCCACCGCGCCCGGCCTCACCAGGAATGCTTTTAAAGAGCCCCAAAATGGATCCCAGTCCATCACCTTCCTGTCCTCCAGGGGCCCAGAAAGGAGGATGAACCAGTGCTTTTTCAAGGCTGGACTATTGAGCTTTCTGGAGACACATTCATAACAATCTACAGGCACGCAGGTTGGAAAGGCATCCTGCAAGTCAATGCTCTCATTACTGTATGTGTCGGAAGAGGACTGCCCAAGTTCCCCCAGCCGGTTAGTGCAGAGCAAGGGAAGTAGCCAGGTTTCTGGATTTCCTGGGACTAGGAATTGCCTGTGTCTTTCCTAATTTCTGTTCTGAGGCAAATTTCTTTCCTTTCTTTCCTTGTCTTTCTTTCTTGACGGGGGTTTCACCATGTTGGCCAGGCTGGTCTCAAACTTCTGACCTCGTGTTCCACCCACCTCAGTCTTTCAAAGTGCTAGGATTATGGGCGTGACCACTGAACCCGGCCAGTTTCCTTAGAACAATCTGTACAGTCCTTTTTGGGCCAAGTCCTTCATGCATCACTCTTGGATTCTATTTTACTTCCATAACACCCCCTTTCACACACATGGACAATTCATCAGACTGGAATATTATTAGTCTATGCTGAAGGAGAGGGAGCCACACCGACCTTGGTCGTTATCTTGTTTGGCATTCCCACAGAGACATTTAAAACGACTCACCCAGTTGCCCAAGTGGCCTCCAAAGAACCAGGTATCTCTAGGGGAAGAACAGAAATCCAGCCACCAAAGATTGTCCTCTAACACCTATATGGAAGGCCCTGAGCCAAGGAAGAGGCGGAGATGTCCCGCCGCAGTCCCCTATTCTCGGCTGTTACCTGGAAAGGCTCATTTCACCTCCACTGAAGAGAAAAAGAATGGGTCCTGAATGGAACGCTGCCGGGCAGGTCCCAGCGCCCACTCGCAGAGTACCCGCCGCTGCCCTAGGGTGGCTCCGGGGCTGCGGGCCTGACCACCCGCCCTCCTGCGGCGCGCCTGGAGCCTAGGAGCTGTGCTGCCGCTCGAGGCAAACCGACTGGGGTCCTGGTGGCCGCAGGGCCCACGAGATGGACTACGTGCTTGCTGAAGCACTAGAAAAGCAGATGCAGCATTTTTCTTTGGAAAGATACTTCAGAAAACATTGACTAAGCCATCGAAGGAAATCTGAACGTGCTTGGACTTTGTTTCCACCCTACCTTATGGAACTGTGTTTTTGCAATTCAATTACCTGGGGGCTGGGCCCCGATCTTTACAGGGTCTCTGCCGCTGTAAGTCTTACCAGGCTTTACCTCTCAGTGATTGGCATAAAATGATGACAGTAAAATCCACAGGGTGAAGCTGTTAGGAATTTTTTAAACATTATTTTATTTTTCTTCCCCCTCCCCCTTTTCTTCTTCTTTTTTTTTTTTTTGAGACAGAGTTTTGCTGTTTTGCCCAGGCTGGAGTGCAATGGATGGCACGCTCTTGGCTCACCGCAACCTCCGCCTCCCGCGTTCTGGCGATTCTCCTGCCTCAGCCTCCAGAGTACCTGGGACTATAGGCTCCCGTCACCACGCCCGGCTAATTTTTGTATTATTAGTAGAAATGGGTTTTCTCCATTTTGGTCAGGCTGGTCTCGAACTCCCGACCAGAGGTGAGCCGCCCTCCTGGGCCTCCCAAAGTGCTGGGATTACAGGCGTGATCCACAGCGCCCGGCCTCCCCCTTTTCTTTCTTTCTTTTTTTTTTTTTTTAATTATTATTTATTTATTTGGTCAGGAATATTTTAATGAAATATTGGTGAAGCCATTGACATACGGTAGACGCTCATTAACTGGTAGCTTTTTTTTTTTTCCCCCTCAAAGGATTCGGTCAGTCTCATTGCAAGTTCCTCTAATGTTTATCGTTGCCGTAGGTGCTGCTATGTTTTTGGACCTGAAATGGGTGACCTTTGGCAAGACGAAATTTCCTTGGGTGTAAGGTACTGCAATACTCAGGATCGTGCAGAGGGAAGCTGGGACAAGATGGAAAAGATCTCGAACGGGGGCCCGAGGGCCAGATGCAACATGCACCGCAGGGAAGCTGGGGCAAGATGGAAAAGATCTCAAACGGGGGCCCAAGGACCAGATGCAAAAGGCACCGCAGGGATGAATCTGCCTGGGCCCCACCGCCTGCCATTCCGCCTCCTGGGACTTACTAAACGTTCTGCGTCAAACAGAAGGCATAATGTGTGGATGAAAGGTGCTTTCAATGATACACCGCCTACCGGAGTATATAAACCCGGTGTAACCAGCAACAAAAAGCAAAAGCAAAATCCAATTGGGTGCGAAAATATGGAACGCTTCACGAATTTGCGTGTCATCCTTGCGCAGGGGCCATGCTAATCTTCTCTGTATCGTTCCAATTTTAGTATATGTGCTGCCGAAGCGAGCACGGCTCTAATGCTTTCCCAGGGGCTATATAAAGTCGAGAAATCAAGAGACTTTATAGTTATGGTGAGTACATACTGGTCCACTTTTTTCTTTACAAACTTCTTAAAAAATCACAACTTTTACGCCACATACTTTGTGCCGATGGGTTTGTGTTTGTGGCCAAACGGATTGTAATTGTCCCTCTGACAGTCTTGCATCCTATATGCAAATATGAGGGAACCATGGGAAATAGGCCCTCCTCCCGCCCGCCCGACTTCTGCGCGCGCCTAGCGGCGGGCACGCCCCGTCACGTGCTGCGTGCTGCCTGCGCGTGTTTCCGCCGCGGCCCGCTAGGCGCGGAGGGGTTGGAGCGCGGCGCCCGCCGGAACGCGGCGCCCGCCGGAACGCGGCGCCGGATGGGACAGCGCCCGCCTCCGAAATTAACAAGCCGCGTCTGCGTGGCTCGAGTGCATGTGTGGAACGAGGGGCCATGGTGCCCGTGGGGTCCCCATGGGAGGTCGACTCGGGACCTCGAAAAGATGGCGAGCTGCTGGTTGGACCCTTCCCTGCGCGGGGACCCCGGGAGGCGCGACCCTAGCGAGGCCTGGGGCTACCTACCGTGGGCCGGAAGGGACCGCGGCGGGGGTGCGTGGGGAGGGTGGGCCAGGACGCGCGCCTTCAGCTTCCACCGGGCCTTTCGGGACCAGCTCCCTGCCTTCGGAGCCAAGGGGATGAGGGCGTCTGCTTTGGCACCCAGACTTCCAGAAGTGATCCAAGTTTGGGAAGGGGTCACCACCCTTTGATCCAACTTTTAGAGTCAGGCGCCTAACTTCATTGTTGTCATTTCCCCAGATTTGCAGTTCAGCAAGTAGGCTTTGGGAGGTTAAACCATCTGCCCCAATGCGTCTGCCACTGGTGAAATAGTTGGGATTTGGATGCGAGTCTGATGTCAATGACTGATTAAAAAAAAACACACACACATTAGAGGCTGGAAAAGATTTGAGACCACAAGTGCAGCCTCCACTCTCCCTGTTAGACTTACTCCGGAGTCCCTGACCCCCTCAGACTTTCCTTCCTACTTCCATTCCTTCAGCAAATATTGAACACCTATGGTGTCGGGCCGGGGCTTCAGGGGTGCCTGAGTGTCAGGGCTGCTGTGATCGTGGAGCTCCGTTCCAGCCAGGGAGCCAGGCAGATGTGAAAGAGCCTTCTTGGATGCCGAGACGTGCTATGAAAGTGTGGCATAAAGAGTGACTGGGGAATGATGGCCACTTCAGTGGGGGGCAGGAGAGAAGGTGACATTGGAGCTGGCATTGATGATACGGGGCATCGCTGAGAGGACATGGGCCGAGATCCAGGCAGAAGATGCTACAGCCACCTGAGTCAGTGCCACCCACCTGGGCCAGCCCTTCAGGGGAGGCTGTTGTGGTAGTTGCTACTCCCAGCAGTGCTGTGGCTTCGTACTGAGAGAGGGGAAGAACCCGGGAGTTCTGCCTTTCACTTCTCCCCGCTCCCTACCCCTCTTCACTGAAATGGAAGTCATTTGACCCGCTTCTCTGACCTTTCTAAATAAGCAGTAGGCAAAGGCAAACCTCAGAATGCTAATATGGCCTTTATTGAGTGAAAAGAACTAATTTGGGCAATGATGTTTCCCTCAGATTTACAAAAGGGGATTGCAAATAACCAAAAAGCACATTAACTTTGATGGGAGATGATGCTCATCTTCAATTAGCATTTATGTTTTTTATTCATTTATTTAGAACAGGTAGGGCTGGTGTTCATAAAGGCCTTATTGTGGAAACTAGCAGGAGATAGACCTAGTTATTGGTTCAACATTTCTGGCTACATGAGCATGTGTTACTTTGAGCCAGAGGTAGATTTTGTTGTTTGTTTTTTTTGAGATGGAGTCTCACTGTGTCACCCAGGCTGGAGTGCAGTGGTGCAATCTCAGCTCACTGCAACCTCTGCCTCCTGGATTCAAGCAATTCTGCCTCAGCCACCATGCCGGGCTAATTTTTGTATTTTTAGTAGAGATGGGTTTTCACCATGTTAGCTATGCTGGTCTCGAACTCCTGACCTCAGGTGATCCACTTGCCTTGGCTTCCCGAAGTGCTGGGATTGCAGGTGTGAGCCACCTCACCCCACCAATTTTTTGTTTGCCTGTTTTTTCTTTTGGAGCAAATTTGGAGAGGAGAAAGATCTGAGTTCTAGTTCTCATTCCACCTGGAACTATTTGTGACCTTGGCCTGCTCCCTGTACCTCTCTGTCTCTGGTTTGGTCTTATCTTCTGCAAAGTGAGGAAGCTGCCCTAGAGATGCCCTTTGACATTTGTCAGCATTGAAATGCTGTGATTCTTGAAACTGGATAATAAGGACTTTTTTGGATAATTAATTGTAATCTTCCTATATTCTGCATTCTCCAAGTACAATGAAAAAAAAATTAGCAAGATGTAAAAATTCAAGAGCATTTTTGTTTTCTCTTTTAGAAGGGTGAAGCAAGCTGGTCATCCTGGAGGCATGGAAGACTCCAGGAGCAGACCACAGGGGCGGCTGTGGACCTAGGGCCCGGGACCTGCTGAACCAAATTACAACATGCCTCTGAACTCCAAAGGCCAGTGCAGAGGAAGCGGCAGGGTGGGTGAAGGGGAGGGGATACATTGCATGCAGCCTGGAGCTGGAGAGCAGAGTCAGCATGGAGGGCCTCAGGGAGGGGAGAGCCGAGTGGACCATGACTTCGTGGGAAGTCCCAAGCCCTCACAGACCTGGAGGGAATGGGCATTGCAGGCGAAGAGAGTGTGGGTGCCAGAGAGGACTGGGCTGGTGGGCAAGCCTGGAGCTGCAGTGGGAGCCGGCTCCTGTAGCCTTCAGAGTGGTCGGCTTCTCTGCACTGGCTTCTCTTCACTCCGAAGACCTGAAAAGAACTGAGTCCTGGCAGTCTTCCCTGAATGTCCTGGGCTACAGAGCCCCAAGGGATGAGGAGTGGTCCCGTATACTGGCGAGGTGGTACTTCCCACTGTCCTGAGTAGGAGAGGGCAGAGCCAACTTTATTTTGAACAATGAAGAAATGGCTGTTTCATCTGGAAAAAATGTCAGTGAAGACATGAACTCAAGATTCTCTAAAATTATGCCGTGTTTCCCTTATAGCCAGAGAGCATTGAGTGTTCTCATGTATCATTTCATTTGAAGCAGGAAGGGCTGGAGACTCCCATCGGCCCCACCGGAGGAGGAAGGAGCCGGGATGGGGCATGTGGATAGAAGTGCCTATGGCCTTGCTTGTGTGCAGGCTGGGGAGGAATGGCATCAGTGGTTTCAGGAGGCATTGCCCCAGGATTGTCGCACAGGGACAATGTGTTGGGTTCACATGCCTGACCCTGAAACTCCAAAAGCCCCAGACACAGAGCATAGCCAGAGGGCGCTTGGTTGGAGGGGGCCTGAGTGTGGGTGGGGACCCACTCCCCCAGGCTGCCAGAAATTCCTTTGAGCGCTCATGCTCTGAGTTAAGCCTTGTTCATATAACCTATCTTTTGAAGTGCACTCTGCCACCTAATTCACCTCAATGTGAATGAGTTTTTCCAAAGTTAGGCAGGATGGGGGTGGAGCAGGCAAATAGGTCTGTGTGCCCACAGCTCAGAGGGTGGCCTGGGGGAAGAGGTAGGGTCAGCTTTGGCCACCTGACCTCTCAGAGGGAGTTTCTTTCAAGCCTTCTAAGCCCTGTGTTCCCAGAATTCTTGCCCTGCTGGTGTGGCCCCAGGTGTGTTTAGATCAGTTCTAATCCATCTCAGACGCCAGGCCTCAATGGAGCCCTCTGATCCCACCCCTCCCCCAGCACAGCCCAGGTTGCCCCTTTTACTCTCCCCCAGATCTCATGTTTGTGCCCACAATGTCTTAAAATATCTGTTTCCTCACCTTGGGGTGGCGATTGTGCTGCCTGCCTTTCAGGGTCACTTGAAGGTTAAATGCAGGACTGGGTGTGAAAGGCCCTAGCACTTCGGATGAGCTGATTGATGTCAAGTGTTTAGAATCATCTTGGGCTATTCTTTTTTTTTTGGAAACCAAGCCTTGCCCTGTCATCCAGGCTGGAGTGCAGTGGCATGATATCAGGTCACTGTAACCCCCACCTCCCAGGTTCAAGCAATTCTCCTGCCTCAGCCTCCTGAGTAGCTGGGATTACAGGTGCCCGCCACCACACCTGGCTAATTTTTGTATTTTTAGTAGAGACAAGTTTTCTCCATATTGGTCCGGCTGGTCTGGAACTCCTGACCTTGTGATCCTCCCGCCTCAGCCTCCCAAAGTGCTGGGATTACAGGCGTGAGCCACTGCTCTCGGCCAGTCCTGGGCTATTCTAATACTCAATACATAACC